AAATGGTCAAACTAAAATAAGACTTCCTGCTGAACAGTGGTTTGGAAATTTTGTACAATTTGCCCCCATCATTGGAGGGGTTACAACATATAGATCACGCAACTGATTGACACACAATATCATGCATGAAAAATACAATGGGTATTAGGCCTTCAATGCCTGCCAGCATGTAATTTGGTCTTAAAATAATCATTTACACTTTTCTAACCATGAAATGGAATGTTCATGCGCACAGATGCCTAAAAGAAGACGCTTTCCGAATTGCTTATTTAGAACTAATCGAAAGGTGTCAATCAAAGAAGTGGAATTGTGATGGCCTGAGCTGATGCTGAAAAATTCGTTATGCTCTTTAACGACTTTGCAAAGCCATCATACATCCGTGATATAGCTAACTGACTGTCGATGAAATCTCATTTATCTTATACCGAAACCAAACCTTCATTTACAGGAGAATATCGCTCCTACGCATATTGTTCATAGTATCCCAAAATACATTTTTGGGTTCTCTTTTGAAAGAGGTTATTGTTATTATGTCACCTTACACTCTTGTAGAGTCATTAAGTTATATCGATGCAGGAACGTAAAAAAATGTGCAATGCCATTGCCGGGTTTCGAAACCCCGGCCTCTTGAAGACGCCTCGAGCGTGCTTCCAGTTACATCACGAAGGCATGCGGAAAGGAGGAAGAAAATTTCTGTATATATATAAGAGGCTTAAGTGTTTGTCGCGGATAGTTTATTGGTTCCTTGCTTAACTGTAAATTGTTTTATTTCCCGTGCAGTGCAGCGCGCGATGAATATTATGAGAAAGCTAAGCCGTAAAAATTAAAAATACGAGAGCCCGTGCATTTAACATTAATAAATAAAATGAATGATTTAACATTAACAAATAAAACAAATAAAATGAAATAAATAAATATCTTTATCATATGCGGCTTAAGTGTCTGTTTGTCGCGGATGGTTTATGGGTTGCTTGCGTAACTGTACTTGTCAATGGGGTGAAGTTGCTACGGCACAAGGTTGCCGTTTCGACTGAGACGTAGACAATTTCCTGTAAAACTTGCCTTTGATCATCAATAAGTCTCAGAACCAAACGTTTAAGCGTGTTGGAATTTTTTTACTTGAGCTAGCATTTGGACACGGTCAACTTTATGTTGCCTGTTCAAGAGTTCGTGAAAGAACGGATGTAAAATTAAAAATAATGGATGGTCCTCTGCAAAGCGAGTTAAAAAACTGATGGAAAGATCTACACAAGAAATGTTGTGTACAAAGAGATCTTTGGCATGTGAATTAACATTTTATTATTTGAATCATTTTTATTTATTGAGCTAGTGGTGGCTATTAAGAAACGTACAGTCAGTGGTTTTCTTCATTGCACTCTACTTAAAGCAATTAAGCAAGTAGAAGAGGGAAACCCCGTGGGGCAGTAAGCAAAGGGGCGTCCTCACCGCCTGCCCTGGGTAATTCAGTTTGAATGAGCAGACACCTTTGCACAAATCATTTGAATTACAATTTATAATATCTAGAACAGCGGTCATTTCGTATGACCGCCGGGCTTTCTTGTAATTTATAATTAAATAAAATAAGCAATGCCTCGCTGGGACTCGAACCACGGACCTCTCGAATAGGAGTCGAGTGTGCTAACCGTTACACCACGAAGGCATGCCGAAAGGAGGGGAAAATACCTTATTATTCGTATTATTTCCTTTCTTTTCCTCACCACGTTCATAATATTCGAGAGCTTAAAGTAATTTTGAAATATTCGCTCAACTGATTTGATATATTTGTAAGCAATTATAGCATTAATCCTTACTTGCTCTTGAGATGCAAATGGTTATCCCGTTAGCATTGGAAGACTGTGGGTCGAATCTCGGTGAAGATAAAGCAGATTTTCCTTGTTGATTCTTGTTTAGAAATGTCTAATGGTCTCTGCAGATTGATTTTGTCCGAGTTCCTGACTATTTGCTACACGACAGACGAATTTCATCTTATGTATTACCTAAAAATGTAAAAAACAAAGAAAAAATTACAGAATCATTGCACAGTTTTTCTGTATGGGTTTCTGATGTTTTATTTTTAATTTTCTTTCTCATGTTCAATAAAACTGTTATGTTTACTTTGCACAATAATTTCTGTTTTTCTATATACGGTTAAAAACAGAAACTAAAATTCAATTAAAAAAATTGGAGGTGGATACTGACTTTCGAAACAGGTTTAAACAAAAACAACTTTTAAGTCGAAACAAAACAGGCTTTTTTTCGAAACAGGTTTTAAGTAGAAACTGGTTTAAAAAGAAACTACTTCAAGATGAACAAACCAATCAAAAATCCGAGACAAAATTTAAGGTTGAATATTACAATATAATATTAGACGCTACTATTCCTTCAATTATTGAAATAATCAGTCAATTAAAAGAACATTACAATTACTTCAATTCACTATATACCTAATTTAAAAAACTGGAGTGACAATGAAATTTTAAAGCATTGTAAAGAATTAGAACAAAAGTTAATAGCTACTAAAAGTGTTAATGGAAAGGATACTAACGGATTAAATTTGTTTGAAGAAATAAAATCTTTGCGACGTTTTACCAAAGAGGATTTGTCACATATTGATGTTTTAAATTGTATTTATGAAAACAATCTTACCGATACATTTCCAAATACTGCAATAAATTTTACGGATTTTTTTAACCCTGAGAGTTTCGGTGGCTACTTGAAAACGAAGTTTTTCAAAACTTAAAATTATAAAAAGCTACATGAAAAAAAGTACTTAAAAGTATAAAAAGCTACGATGGCGCCGGAGAAATTATAGGACTTGTCGGATATCCAAAGAGAGCCAAATTTTGAGTAAATTAAATATAAAGGAATTGATACGCGCGTTTGTAGCTGCTAAAGCTAGGGGAATCAATATTTGAATATATTTTTCTAATTTTTATATTTTACTTAAAAATGTTTTATCATTGTTTAGCCAGGCATTCCAAACAGATATTTTATGTATGAATTAACAAGAGAGTATGAACTTTTGGTAAAAGTTTACAATTGGGTGCCCCTTGTTTTGTGGTGATTCTTTTTTGACGCCAAGATCGGCGCCAGAAAGGCACAATTTCAAGATGGCCGCTACAAAAAAAAAAAAAAAAAAAAAAAAAAAAAAAAATCAAAGAATTGCACAAACTTTGTGTCCATGTACACATCGATATGTTTTCACTTAAAAAACATCCCAGAATTGCACAAACTAGGCATTGCGCACTGCCATAAATTTGTCCATGTACACATCAATCTATTTTCATTTAAAAAAAAAATCAGGAAGCTAAAACGAAGTTTAAACTTTCATGGCAACTAGAAATGAGGTTTAATCGCCGAAATTAAAAAAAAAAATATATATCGTTAATCGAAGGGGCACACAATTCTACACTAGAGCCGAACTTTTAAAGGATTATTGATGAATTGTGGATTACTGAAGGATAAAACTTGTTGTAAAAAATGTAAGATACCATGCAAAGGTATCTTACATTTGGGAAAGCCAATCAAAGGTGAGATTTTCCGGCATTGTTTTTAAAATTACATCCTTTTAACCTTAATCCTTTTCATTAATCATTCCTTAATATTTCTTTCTTTTAAAATCATGTATAATAGTTGTAAATTTATTTCTATTATCCACAATTTCTGGTGAAATCAAGATGGCCGCCATTTTTCAAAACAACGTATTTCATGTGCTTTGGCGCCAAAACAAATTCGCCAAATTTTAAAGGTGGGCTATACTGAAGCTGTTTCAGAAAAAATAGTGTGGTGATATGGGAATATGTGTTGCGGGGAAATCGACCGTGAAGATGATGGTTCCCTTGTGTAGATTATGGTGAGTAGTTATTTCGACTTCTTGTAATAAAGTTTAGTGTTAAATTCTGTTTATTAATGTTGTGTATTGAGATGTTCCTACTTGATAATTTGAGTTGATAGTGTCTGTGTTGAGTTTGATGTGTTCGTTTTGTGCTCATTGTGTTTTAGTTGTCAATTCAGGGTTGTTGTAATTTTTCTTTGAATTAAGATGAGTCTGAAGTCGCTTAAGACATTAAAAAAAAAAACGAGTTGACGCTCATGGCGGAGGAGTTGGGATTAGTAATTCCGAGAGAGACGCATATTGTTACTATAAAAACTTTAATAGATAGTTCAGAAGTTTATGAAAATGATGCTGAATTTATGCAAAATGTTATTGATAATATTCTAGAGGAAAAGAAAATTAAATTAGAGAAAATACAAATTGAAAAACAAAAATCGGAAAACGAAATTAGATTAGAGAAAATAAAACTTTCTCGGTTAGAGGCGGAATTAGCTTTAGCTAACACTAATAAGAAAAGACTTGCCACAAAATACAAATGCGGATATAATTCTCATTTAAATAATAAGCTTTAAGTAAAAAGTCTGAAAGTAGTTTAAATACGTCCCAAATGACAAGGTAAATTTCTATTCTTATTGACCACACTTTAACATGAACTTAATCAGGAGTATTCTAGGAAATATGTTTTCTTCAATCTGTAAATCGATACGGCCAGCCACATTTAGTAATTTGTAATGTTTTCTCTTTGACTTCGATCCAAAATTATACACACATAATGAATCCTAAGTTGATCGCTCAAGTTCTAGCTGGTTTTAAGTTTCTTCAAAGATGCTTGCCTTAGAAAGATAATGCATAACAGATGTGTTTAGTTATGTTCACAGAAATACTGATCACTTCGTAGAGTCATGATGTTATATCGACTTTTTCAAAGTAATTTTAACATCCCAAAATCGAAAGGGGAAAATTATACGAGTCATTTAATTTTCGAAGAACGTGGTTCTAGTAATAATGTAACAAATGAAAAGTAGTCATGGAAAAACTACAGGCAACTATCACAATTTCTGTTGTTTTAAAAAAACCTACATTCCAGTAAGAATACAGTCATACGAACATTACAGTATGTGATGGATATTGAACGATATCTGAACATTTTCGTATTTTATTACAGCAACTGATTCGGCTGGCTCAATTACCTTGTAAAAGACGCAGGAACTCCTCATATGAATGAGCCTTGACAGTGATTTTCAACAGGGACATAGGAGGAACGAGAAGAAGGGAGAACAAAGAACCCGGATTTCGAAAGAACACATCAGCAGTAGATATAGCAGAAGCAGTATAATGAGCTGGAATGTAAGTATTAGAAATAAAGTGCAATCACATGATTGTAAAAAAACGTTTAAGTATGAGAATGCTTCCCACGTTCAGGTACCTTAAAACGCAGAATCTGCACAAAAGACGTTTCAAAAAATAAATGGAAGGAAAAATAAAACGGAGGAAATGCTAATATAAAAATGCAAATACATATTGAACATACTGAATAAAAATAAACATAATACAGGAAACACAATATATCAATAGACTGACCTTCAAGAGGGCAATAGTATGCACAATTGAGGAAATGGAAAATGATCCGAATATTTTTAATATTTTTGAAAGAATTTGGGAAAAAACTACGCATTCTTTTACACATTAATTGAGGGAGGAATTTAAATTGTAACTGTTGTTTATTGTATCAGCTTAAACCTCATTCTTCAGCGGGCATTCGTCAATAAAAGAATTAATTCATTCATTAATTACTGTAAAATATTTCACGTCGCTTATCATATCAACATATTTTTTTGCTCGACAGTTCACAGCGTTGCGCTAACAGATGAGTCCTTGAAAAGTTTTCTCCTGAATAACTTTCAAAGAATGAACAGTTGTTTAATTGATTTATTTAAGAAAATAAAAAAGGAGCCCTGAGTATTCCAAATAAGAACATCTGCCGCATCATTTGTTTAATTTTAACCGATGCTTGTAAATTTGTTCACATAAAATAATTTCAGGCGTGGATCAGAATAATTTTCGGCTTTGTGTTGTTAAAAGATAGCATTGTTCTATCTGCTGTAGTGACACTCATAAATAAATGTTTGTAGGAAGGTACTGAAATTTATTCTTTGCATGTGATACCATAAACTGTTCTGATAATGGAAAAACAAACTCGCTTTTGTTTTCTAAAGTAATTTACTGGTGAAAAGTAGTTGTTTAAAGAAATGAAAAACAAATTTGTTCGAAGAATTAAGAGCTGGGAAGTACGGAGATGCTAAGCTGAAAGTCAAAGATGAATTCTGTAGCTACGCAGAAATTGTTGAGATGAAATTATTTATTTAACAGACAGGATAGAAGTAAAATGCTTCAAATGCTCTTTAAATATTCTAAATTTGGAATTAGATGATTTAATTTTTAAGGGGTGTTGAAACCCCAAAATCTTCAAAAAATTGTGATTTCGGATTTTTGCATTTTCAAATTCTCTACACTTTTATCTTTCTAAAAATACCATTCTTTAATTTCTATGAAAATTAGAACTGTAAAAAAATCTCGTTTTAATATGTCATCGACTGCTTTGATCAATGAGGATTTTTACATAAAAACGCGTTTTTCTCCAAACGTGATTTTTTTATACTCGATGTACCTTTTCTCAGGATCTACTGCTTACAGGTATCTAAAATTTTATGGCTTATTTATTATTTTTCCTAATAATTACTGAAATGAGCTTTTTGTAATAAACTTAGAATAAAAATTTTAAAAAGTTTTTTGTGTGAGAAAAGTGCTAAATTTTACTATACCTAACAAAATATTCTGTAAATTACTCTAAAATTCAAAATGTTTCTAAAGCTCATTTCAGTATAATCAGATAGGTATACTTTAATTACACAAAAAATTTCAAGCGTGTATCTACAGCAGATTTTGAGAAAAGGTACATCGAAAATGGCCAATTTAACATTTTCGGTATAGGGGTTTCTGATATCCCTTAAAGGATTTTATTAAAAGTAAATATTTTATTATCATAGCGGTAAGCAATAGACACATTTCATGTACTTTGAATTTATTAAATCCTTACGCCCTATGTTATAAAATTTCGCTTAAGATACATACAAATTATATTTATTTAAGACTCATACTGAATGAGAATATTATGAACGCAAATTGCATCAAATGACTATGGAAATTGTAAAAGCTGTTTTAATCAAAGATTTTATATTAAGCATTGATGGCAAATCATCTGAGTAAGAGAAGCAGCATCTAAAAAATATTCGCTTAGGACAGTGGTTTAAGTTTATTAGCCTATAAGGTATTTTTCCCTCCGTCCAGCATGCAATCATGGTGTAATGGTTAACGCGATCGGCGCGCATTCGAAAGCTCCAGGTTCGAGACCCACTGAGGGCACTGCTTATTTTTCCTGTCTCCTTCTTCAAAATAAACAAATGTCTCTACAGTGGTGTCTGAACTCAAAAAGGTGGTGGGTGATGGTTCTTCACCACCAGGATTCGGCGATTGGATTACCTAATCCCCAGTCGCCCTTTAAAAGAGGGAATATATAAGGTATTTCTCATTCCTTCTAGCATGCCTTCGTGGTGTAATGGTTAGCACACTCGGCGTGTATTCGAGAGGCGCAGATTCGAGTCCCGGCGAGGCACTGCTCAGTTTTCACGTCTCCCGCTTCTCTACAAGCCCAAAGGGCTGTTAGTTTCGAAACACGATTTTGTGTGGCTTCACTTTTCATTCGAGTCTGTTGCCATTTGACAAATACGTAAAGTATTTATCTTTCAAATTAAATCTGCCTGTTACTGATTAGCAAACTAAGCTATCTAAAAGCAATATGTAAAATTTGAGAATATTATATTTTAACTTTTGAATGGGATTGATTTAAATACAAATGCCTGTACTAATCTGTACTACTCAATCTGTACTAATAAGGGAGAACGTAAAATTTGAGCCTATTCAGGTTAAAAAAAATATTTAGCATTTGAAAGGAAATCTAAAGTAGCAGAATCATATTCAGTTGTCCTATTAATGAATTCTTTGTGTATGAGTTTTGATGCATAGATGAACACGTCGTTTGATACAAAGTGAGAAACACACGGTTTTTTTTTTTTTAATTTTTTTTTTTTTTAATTTTTTAATTTTTAGTACAGGCTGTGCTTGTTCTTTATCTGTCAGCTATGAAAATCTGCCTTTTACTTTAAACCATTTCAAACTTAGTAATTTTATGCACGTATTAAATAAAAATATTAATGCAATACAATTTAGATAGCAGAAACCTTTTTCATTAAAAACTTCTGGTGAAACGTTTTACCTTATTGCCAAAAACGGAATTTTATCGCAGGATTATACATCCCGTAGCCTTCTCCCTTGTTTTTATCTTAAGGAAAAGTTCTCTTGCGCGTTCTAATTAGGTAGGATAAGAAGAGACAATTAACTCTGCTAAGTAAAAACTATACTACTCATTTTTGCTGTAATTAACTCTGGTAAGCAGAGGTGGGTATCTCCCAACATAAATCTACGATAAAAGATCAGGCAAAGAACTTCCACTTTCATTGAGTCATAAGTCATTTAAGAAGCCAAACGAACAAGAAGGAATCCCAGATGCACTGGAGGAAAAGGGGGCGGGGGTGGCAGAAAGGAAGATAAAGCATTGTAACGGGTCCCAGTTTTTGTCACGACTCTCACATCACGGCTTCTACCTATTTGAAAAGAAGCAGACCTTCTGACCCGTTACGGTCACATAAAAGAAGAAAGAGCAAACAAGAATAAAAAGAAAACACTTTCATCTCTCTGGCTTTTTTTTTTTTTTTTTTTATCATTCTTGACTTGAATGGTAGACTAGTGATAGCGCTTTTTTGTTCCAGCGCGATCAACACCTGTTTATTTATTTATTTACGAATTATTATTATTATTTTCTTTTTGGCTGCGAGGGTTTTATGTTGATGGAATTCTCCAGATAGGACTCCTGTGAAGAGGGTAGAATGTCGCTTTCTTGATGTGGCGATGGTTAAGCACGCTGTTATCTACGTTCAGACCAGTTTAAGTTATCCGGAAGTTAAATAAAGAAAAAGGCGCGAAGTTTTGGATCTAGAAATTGAAAGATGCAAACGGTAAACGGAAGTTCTTACACATGCATGTTAGATTCAATCTAAACTTCCGTATAAGGAGCCCAATGACTTAGATTAGATGAAATCCGTCAGAATAGTATACACTTTTAAAGTGCGAGATGTATAATAAAAATATGTATAAAACTGTAACGGAATGTTGTCAAAATTAAATTTCACATTTCCTTAGATTCGCAGAACTGCAAAAATAAATATACCCACGTTACGTTTTAAGTTTAAAGCGTTATGTTTTGATTTATTTAATATTTTATTGATGGTGGTCAATCTTGCTGTTCATACCGTCTTGCAGTGCAGCTTGGGCAATGCTGTTGGTGATCAGAGGCCGAACGGCCGACGCGTTTGACCTGTTCCAATGCAGCTTTGGAGCAAATGTCTGGCAATTAGAGGGGGAGATACAGCTTTGCTGGTCTGGTTTATACTATATCAGCTAATGGTTTACTGCAGCGTTTATAATTTTTCAAGTGGGTAACACTTTTACAATGTTCTAAGGGTCATCTTACTATGGTTTCCTTCTAAAGAATTTCTTTAAGATGTCATACTACCTGTGTACTTATATTTTTAAAATACAGTTATTTTTTATATCAGTATTAATCAATTAAGTTGACAGAAGAAAAAAAAATATATATATAAATATAATATATATATATATATATATATATATATTCAAGGCTATTACAGTTCAGATAATCTTATTGACTAAAAAATAAATAAATATTGGCACTCATGTTAATGACATGAATGAGGCTGCCTTTTCCTGCACACTTGCTTGGATGTGTGCTAGATCTGAAATCGGAAGAACATCAAGTCGATTTTGTTTAGCTTTTGAGTTAGTGATAAAAATCCTTTCTGGCACAGATACGTAGAAGCAAACTCAAATATAATTTTAAACCTCCATTCCCCAGTACATCATACACTGTTTACGCTGACAATGCGATCCAGAAATGAATCACACCTTATTTTAAAATTTCATATTAAGTCCGGTGTCATTACGGAATTCAGTTATCTTCTCCCTTTCAAGGACTTCAGTCCGCAGACGATAGTTTAAGGAATGCTACTTTATACGAGTAGTATTGTAACAGTGTAAGTATTTCGTATCCAGTACAGTAGAATCCCTTGCATATTTTAAAAGTTTCAATCCTACAGCTATGTAAATAAAGAAGAGTGTTCCTACTTTTGTCTTTCATCCAAATCAACGGTTTT